GCGGGGGGTGAATGTGGGGAAGAGATCCTCCGCCTATCAAAGAGAGGCAAAGGTTGAAAAACACCAGTGTGGATGATCCTATATTTGCTACCTAACTGCTGATACGGGAATGTTTCCAAAGGTTCTTGGGGAGCTGAGCAAGACAGCATCTTGCCTCTCGCTGCCCTAAAATGTTGGGGACACGTAGCAAAATAAAACGTCCACGTGCCCCGATGTTTCTCTGCCAGCTGCAGGATCTGTAATTTCTTCCTATTTGGGGTTTTCTTTTTTTTAAAAAAAGAAAAAGATGGACATTCTTAAAAGCAACAGGGGGCTCTTCCCTGTTGCTCATCAGCAGTTCAGATTTTGGATGCCACTTCTGGCCGTGCTCGGTGGCCCGCCTCGCAGGGCTGTGATTCAGGTGAGAGGAAGAGCAAGGGGCCTGGCTATTCGCAGCATTATAAGGAGTCTTCCCCCCTTTGCAAGCGAGGTCTCCATTAGCTCCCTGTTGGGGCCTTCTGGGGTGTGGGACTGCAACATCGTTGCTGGCTAAGGACGATGGGAATTGTAGTGATGCAAAGAATTCTGGGAGTTTCCATCCCAGTGCACCCAGAAGCCCCCCTTCCGCATGCCTTCTTCCCAGCCAGAAGCCATCGCCTGGCTTTCTGCAACCCTAGCCCCATCACCCTTGCTGGCTGGGGACCATGGGAGTTGGAGTGTGAGCCCCACAGGGACAAACTGGGCGTTGCAGTGGCTAGGCATTCCTGCTCTAGTGGATCCTGGGGTTGGACTAGATCACTGCTATGATCCCTTCCAATCCTAAGATGCTCTCCCCGAACGCCAGGGAGAAAAAGCTGCCCACCTCAGTCACTGTGTCCAAGCAGAAGCCGGGCAGCCACGGGATGCTTCGATTTTGGCTCGTCCACGGAGCAAGGGTTGGACTGGATGACCCCAAGTGTACCCTCCACGGCCATTCTTCCCACTCGATGCGCTTGTAATTCCGTGCACCATGGAAGGGCCGCCTCCCCACCTGTGTCGGGAGGACCACCAGTCCCATCGCCCCCGCCCGGCCAAACCCCTTGGAGGAAAGCGAGGGGAAGGCTGGAAAAGCGCCTTAACGGCGGTGGAACCAACGCGAAGGGGAACGGGAGCCGGGGGGGAGATTTCCGCAGAACACCGCTGGGGCGAAATTGGGTATGGGGGAACCCCGAACCTGTTGCACTCACCTGACACTGCAGCGCACAAGAAGTGCCGCCACTGCATGAGGAGCAAAACGGCGGCCACGTCCTGGAAGGATGACTCAGAGAGACAGGGCGGGCCATAACCGGGCCCGGCCGCCCCAGGCAAACTCCGCCCCCAATCCGGGAGCACTATACGACCCCGCCGCGCCGAGTGGGAGCATGGGATAGCGGCGCCGGCGATGACGTCTCAGCCGCGGGGGATGACGCTCGAAGCTTCTGGGCGGGGCGAGCGCCGAGTCACGTGCGCAGAGGAACTGCGGCCGTTCCGGGGTAAACCATTCGGGATACGGGCGGGGGAGGTGAGCGATAGGTCGAACCATTCTGGGGGAGGGGGAGAGAAGAAGGAGGCCGCGGGTGTTCGCAGCGTGGGAAAGCAGGGACCGAACCACTGCAGGTGGAAAGGGGGGGACCAAACCATTGTGGGAGCTGCTTGAGGGAGGGTGCGGACCTGGGAGGCGATTCCTTTCGGGGATGGGACATGACGTTAGACGCGTGCGAAGCAAAGGGGACCCCGTAAACCATGGTTTGCTTAAGCCAGGATGGCTGAGCTTGCGCCAGCAGGCCCATGCTCTCGCCTCCGTCGCTTTCCCCAGCTCGGATCCTCCCAGATGGGTCGGACTACAACTCCCATCAGCCTTAGCCAGGTAGGACCATGATGGGAACTGTAGTCCAGTCCATCAGGATCCCCTTCCTTAGCAAGTGAGGTGGCCTCGTCCAGCCAGCTGTGGCTGGGGAGAAGCCCGCCCCCCAAAAATCTGGGGTGAGGTTAGAGCATCTTACATATAGAGGTTGACTGCCTCTGATCATGGAAGCTTTTCGCTTCCCTTGCCTAAAAACAGCTAGGTAAAATAGAGCCTCCATGTTTCAGGGCAGTATACCTTGGCGTCCGTGGCCATGAAGCCAGCTTGGGAGGTCTGTTGCGTATCGGGTCTCCCTTAGAAGGCCTGGCGGCTGAAAATTGAAAACGAGGCTGTGGGAGGCCCACAAAAACGAGGAATTTAAAGAAATAATAATACCCCATGATGGTTTTGTGAACACGCGGAGGCTTCCTCATTTCTGACACTGGAAGCACGAGGTAGCAGATCCAGAGGCGTAACGAGACTGTTTTTCTTCTTTTTTTCCAGTTTTCCAGCGCCTCTGACTATGGCCCGGAAAACCCCCGTCGCCTTTTGCTCCTGTTAAGAATTTCTGACCAGGATTTGTTTCCATGGCTGCGTCGCACGTCAGAATGGCAGCTCTAAGCAGGGGTTTCAGGTATCTCGGATGTTCGCGGAGTAGCCTTCGTAGAAATAGAGACCTGCAATCTAGAAGTGAAGTATTATAGCAGCGATATTCTGAAAAGAGTATAATATATCTGGGAATAGGGTGTTTTAAAAAACCAGTCTAATGCAAAGTTTCTCAACCTTGGGGACTTTGAGATGGGCGGACTTCAACTCCCAGAATTCCCCAGCCAG